TAAAATTTATTTTTAAATAAAACATATACATACACACAAAGACACACAAACACATTTACACACATGGGTGTTTGCATGTATTGTGTCTGTGTGCATGTGTGTGTATAAACAATGACTAAAAATAAAAATTAAAAAGAATTAAAAAATAAAAGAATCAATTTTTTTAACTTTGAATAATTATTTAATCGATATAAATTTGTATAAATTTTCCCTGGAAACGCAGCAAATCAATAGCGCACATCAGTTTAGAAAACTATTATCAAAACTAGTATATGTTTATTGCAACTGTTCTTATATATATGTTTTGAAATGTTATATATATGTCCTCCTAATATATTTTAAAAACAACTACAGAATTGATGTATAATTTTCCTTGAAAATGTTTTCTTTGAATTTGCTTCAAATCTGCAAGTTTTCAATCGTTTTTTGTCATGGAAATTCATCGGATAACATTTTCTTCTTATCTTTTAAAACTTTACTTTTCCAAATTCAGAAAAATGCTAATTTTTCGAATTAGCTGCTAATTGAACGCACACAGCAAAAAATCGATCAACGCTGTGGTTGCATATTTAGTCATTCATTTCACTCGAGAGTAAATTTAGAAAACAAAAGAAGAAAATTATTTCTAGGTTCATGCGTATTGTTGTTAATTGTAGCATAACAAACGAATTATGTGAAAATTTTCAAATAATCTTTTTTTATAAAATGTTTCTTCATTGAGCAACTAAGGAATCAGGAAGAATTTTTTTTTAATACCATTAATATTATTAACAGACTCATATTTACGAGAAAAAAGAAATATTTATTTCGATGTTATATGATCAGATAAAAATGCCTATCTGCTGCATATTCTCCTAGATTTTATTTTCACTTTTGAAAAAGAAGTCAATATTTTCTTTATTTTTCTTTATTTTTATTTTCTAAGGAGAGATTAATTAATTAATTAATCTGTTCTTAGAAAATGAAGGTTCAATAACACAAATATATCGAATAATCTTTTAATAAATTATCAAATCGATTAATGTTCAAGATGGATTCAATTACATTACAGTTTTAAGTATTTCTAGGCACGTCCGCTCTTCGTTAAAAACATGATAGCAGCATGATGAAAAAAAGGCCCAAAACTTAATAAAAACAGTTTTATCGTCAAAATGTTTATGTTATTATGAAAAGGAAAGACAAAAGTGTTTTTAATTATTTAAAAAATTTTTGTAACCCTTTCTAACACGCTCGAAAATTTGGTTAAAAATCCTGGGGTTTTTTTTACGTCTGCGACATAAGTAAATTTTTACAATGAAATGCTTTTGCGTTTTGTTTTTTTTTATTTGGAAATTCTTGCAAAAATCAAATAATTGTTGGAATTTAATAAAACTTTCAGAACTTATTCACAAATGAATGAAATTATTTTTTTAAATTTTTGTTTTAGAAAATCTTCGTAATTTTTTTTTTACGTACGTTACACACCCACTTAATTTCATGAAATTTCGAGAAATTAAATCGTATGTCCATACTTTTTTTTATTAGTTAAAAGTGGGACACCTTGGAAAATGTAAATCGTCTTTTTTTTTCGAACTTTTTCTCATTTTCTGAAAATCTGCTCCGAATGTTAAACTAAAAACTGTAATAAAATGATGACATTATTTAATTAGAAAACTTTTTAATTGCTTTTTTAAATGTGTTATATTTTGGACATTATTGCCTTAAGAAAAAAAATTTGATGAATGATGAATTTTTAAAAGAATTTTTTCATTTTTTAAAATTTTAATTATAATAATTTATCATAATTTAAAAATCTCCCACACTGTATTTCTTTTAGGTGATGTTGTAATTAAGTAGAAACGAATCAAAAACCGAAAAGCTTAATATAAGTCGTTTTGCACCAAAATAATTTTTTTTTTTTAACTTTAAGCATTATCATTTTTCATCTATGGTAACATTATTATGAAAAGGTCATGTGTTTTTGAGTTGTTCTCTTTTTACAGAGAAATTCGCTTGTCTCCAAGTTGTTATTCCCTTCAGTTTTAAAACTTTAAAATTTAAAGTAAGTTTTACTTTTTTAATTTCTATTTCACGAAATATTTTTATTTTATGAATTTATTTTAGTATGGGTCATAAATTATTGAGTTACTTCTATCATGGTTTCAGTTATTAAATTCTAAAATTATTCTAAGAAAATTTTATAGTATTTTAAATTTTATTATTTTTTCATATAGAATCTTCAAATGACAAATTAGATAATTGCTGAAAATATGTCAATTTGTAAAAATTACTAGATAGTTAAAAAAAATGAGTTCACTTAGATTTCGTAAATTTATGTCTATTCTAATCATCCATACCAGTTGTCAGCACCTCAAAGACTATCGATAATGTCAATAACGTCAATAGAATGAGAAAAACACGATCCATTGTTAAGAAATGCTTCTATACTATTTTTTATGCTATAAGTAATATTTGTTTCAAATCAGATTAATTTAACTTTAAATTTGTTAATTTTATTCAAATAACGATAATAAGAAATATATATGGAAAGAGTCAACTTCGTAATTTAGCTTTAGCTTTCACTTAAAGCTAAAAAGAAATCTTCAAGAATGCGTTTAATTTTTAAAAATTCATTTTAAACCTTAGGTATGAAAATTTATACTGAATTAGTGCAGGTACCTAGCTACGGATTCATATATGGATTCTTGTAAGCATAAAATTAAGTTCATTTAGAAATTTTTAAAGAGTATAATTAAGGCGCTTATATTTAGAAATAAAAAATTAATTGGAATGAAGGTTTTATCAACATGTTTTACAAATACTATTTTTGCAGGTTTTATATCATGAAATTTAAAATAAAATATAATCCATTTATTCTACACGTTGTATATAAGGCGAAATATTTTCCATGTTTCACTTTTAGAAATATTAATCTCTAAGAAGATGCATCAAATATCACATACATAATTACATTAGAAATAAGGGTATTTTTATGCATTCATTGCACTATTGACATATACACACATATACATAGACATAAAACACACACAAACACATATATGTATATATACAGAAAATTCTGTACATTCAGTTAAATATACTTTCAGTTAATTGATTTCATAGTTGTATATTTATATATTATATTGATTTCTTTCTTTTCTTACTTCAATTGAAAATATTCTTGGAGTAACAAATATTACAGTATTACAAAATAATTATATATACAAACATATACGCACAAATACATACATTCTCCGAGGATTTTATAACCCTACTGGACTCTATTTTGAACAATAAGAATGTATAATTCCTCTGCAAGCTTAACAGAAGAATCGTGATGAAATCGGTCATAAACGAAAATGACATGTTCATCATTAATTAATCATAGCTCAGGATCGGAAGCTCATGAAGTATTGAAATACAGTTTATTCCAGGATCATTTTTTCCCATTTATAGGGTGGCTCTGAAAGTAATGCCTGTTATTTTATTACGTTGTCCTTGAACATCAGAGACGAATGTTAACAAGAGTAAAAATTGAATCTTCCCGCCGATAACGCCGATAAAGAAATTTGTCTTGATAACAGCTGAGTAGCAGGCTGGCAAATTGGGGTCTGTCATGACGTGTTAGTAGTGAATTTCTCCATGCGGAAAAGTTTCACCTTGCTCAATGTTTACGGAGACCAAACAATTTCAAAAAGCTACGTTCGGGTTGATGGGAAATAATCTACACTAATGACATTTTCCTTGTAATTAAAATGCTGCGAAAAGTCAAAAATAGTGTTTTGAAATTGAAAACTTAATTCTTGTTCTCTCTATCTCTTTTGTCGTTTGCATGGAAATAGATAGGATAATGACTTTCTGAGGTTATTTTTATCAAGCAATATTATTTCGTTTGTAAGCAAGTATGCATAATTTTATAATCATATAGGAATAAAACAGTTTAATTATAATAATATTATAATAATAATTATTATAATATTAATAGTTTAATTATAATAATATTTATCACTGAATTAATTGGCTAAAAGCCAATTAATTCAGTGATAAATGAGTGCAAATGAAAAACATGTAACTTACACGAAAGCGTGTCTTAAAACGAACAAAAAAGAACTGTTGCGAAATTACTATCAAATATTTTTTCTGAAACATTCACTATTTACTTTTAAAATAAAACAAGCAAAGAAAGTAAAGTTGTAAAGGTAATTTGTAGCTTTATTTAATATTTATTCAAATACAAATTTTAGACACAAGGAAACCCAACGAATGAATTTATTAATTGGCTCGAAACGTAGAGAGTTTTATTGAAAATTTATGTGATATTCTATATTCTGTGTTCTAAGTTATAATGAAAAAAGTAAAAACAAGATAAACTGCTTACTTCTTGAGTCATTTTGATTTTCTTAATTTTAAATATCTTCTATTTTTATTTCATGTCCCTTTTCTTTTATATTTATTGGAAAAAAATTAAAATTTACAGTCGAAAATTACTATAAATTTTGTCATTGAAGAACAATAATTTCTTAGAGTTTTTGCAAATCTTTTCGAGTTCTTCACACCACATACACATCAATAAGCATAACTAGCTAGCTAGATAGATAGATAGATGAACAGACAGAATTATAGACTGATATATTAGCATATTTTATGGTATGAGGAAGCTTATATTTAAGGTTGGGATGTAAGCTACATAAAATACGTGTGAATATGTGGATGCATTATATAAGAAATGAAAGTGCATGTGCGTAAATATTGATGATTGCAAGCATTTTGGAGCTATTCTGTGCGAAGCAAAAGTACGGATTGTTGAATATAATCCTTTTATCGCTAGCCCCCTACTCTCTCTCTCTCCTTCTCTCTCCCTCTCATTTTTTCTATTCACCTCCACCACTTTTCGACTCATCGAAAACAATGAAAACCCTATCAATGAATAGCCTCCTACTCTTAAAATAATCTATGCATGCTCAAGGTGACTTCACCGTCAGTCGATCTTAGAAGGCGGTGCCTTAAACATCAGTGATAACCTATGGCAGTGAAGAAGAAAAAGACGAAGCCAGAAAGACGTGCAAAGCAGTGGGATGGGATGAGCAATGTAGAAGAAGGTGCAGGAGAATGCTAAAAAGAAGTTACGCTTGGATGTGAGGGAATGGGTCTGTTAAATGAAGAACTATACACACAGATGAGGCTGATTTGAAGACAAAGCGGGTTGGGAGAAAGACTTTAATAGCAGAATTTGGTTAAGAAAAACAATCTGACATTGGATCCGCCCGTTTGGCTTACTGTGGAAAGATTCACCAAGAGGGGGTGTTCCTGACAAGCGCATGCGTGCACCCCCTCCTACCTGCATGCGTGTAATAAAGCAACATTTTAGGCATGCGCGTACTCAAATAACCATCAGTAAAAAAAGATGTATAATGTCGGTAATGGCAGTGACAAATTTGAATGACAAATATAAAGTTTTTTATTTTGGAAAATGCTCTCGCAGTTTCGACCAAATATTGATGCGATCGTTCTGCCAAAGCATATGAATCGATAAACATGAATGAAAAAAAATGAGAGCATCGGTAATTAAGAATATAGGCATGTACGTGTATGTATAGGTACATACCTATGCACTTACTTGTACTTCAGAAAAAAATCTCTTTATTCAACAAGTTAAATATAGTATTTTACAGTTTAAATTTCAGAAAATATTTGTTAAATGTTGCGTAATAGTAAGAAACAAGATTTTCGTGTTACGCCTTAATTTAAATGATCCATAGCAATGTTGTTTAAAATATTAGATGTCAAGTTAAAGTTTCATCGGTATGTGTGAGAGTGAGACTGTTGATCTACAAAGTTAACTTTTTAGATCATTACACCATAAAAACAATGTATCCTTAATCCGTTATTAATCGTTTGAATTTTAAATACATGTCTTTAAACAATAAAAAAAAATACTTAGGCTTTATCCTTACGAGTTAGTAAGGAAGGATAAAGCCTAAGTATTTTTTTATTTGAACTCATTTTGTGGTTCAAATAAAAATTCAATTTAGTTAAAATTTGTCACATTTGTTTCTTAAGAGAAAAAATATGACAATCTCCAAATATTTGCTGGGACGTTGTCTCTCTCCATACTGCTTTTCAACTTACATTGTTGCATTGCTAAGCTCAATTTTCTATTTATAATTTAAAAATATTTTCTAATACTGTTATGAAAAAGAATTTGGAAAACAGATTTAATGATTATCATGTCTTATTGTAATATCTACCTACCTACATACACACTTAAACACACATACATATACCTGAAAGAATGAATGAATGAGAGAATGAAAGAATGAATGAATGAGAGAATGAAAGAATGAATGAATGAAATAGAAAGAAAGATATAGTTTGTTCAATATAGAAGTATATCCTAGAATGGAAAATTCAAAATTTATTATTATATATATATATATATATATATATATATATATATATATATATATATATATATAGAGAGAGAGAGAGAGAGAGTTTGTTGTTATTTAAACAATATTTTAGTTCTGACACAATTAAAAAAGTAATTACAATTTTAGTATATTCTGTCAATAAATTAATTTAAACCATGTTAATCTTGTAGTGGTAAAATTCAAATGTACTTCACGAGATTGGGTACACCGTACATATGTAATATTTTCAAATAATATTGAATTAAAGAACGTATCAGAAGTGAAATTTGAATGATGAGATCTGTAAACATCTGATATAGAATTGAAAAATATATAAAAATATTATGAAAAAAACTTTTACCTCGTTAATAAGCGGTTTACCATATTAGAACTACAGAAGCAAAATCCAGAAAACAATCATGTATAATCAGCTACAGGGAAATAAATCAAAACTTCTATAAAAATTTCCAGTGGATCTCCTTCATCCTCTTTTTAAGTGACATTGTGATAATGATCTTTTTCTAGTAATAATGAACAAATGAAACTTACACTTTCTGACATAAAAACTAAGGATAATAGTAGAAAAACTAGATCTTCGCAGGTTTTATAGACGCGCTTTAATGATACAAATGCAAAAAATAAGCACATCAATCAGATTATTAAATATCAGAAGTAACATTAACCATTTTACGTACACATGTATGTTGCAGTATCTCTCTAAACATTTATCATCAAATTCATTATCTAGCTTGAATAGAATCGCTACATACAACTGTTTAGTTTACGCTTCACGTTCACATTTCTTATTTACTTAAAAAAAGTAAAAGTAAATACAAACTGCGTATAATTGTTGTGTATGTGTAAAAGCAAGATATACATGCGAGTATGCGTGTGTGCATGCATGTAGGTAGCTCAAATAATTTGAACATAAGTGACCTCATATGTTGCTGCAAATACAGACATTACATTACATCATTTCTTTCTCGTATTGTTAATAAAGGATGAAAATTGTGAGCGAAATACGCCAAAAAGCAAATTCAGTCAATATTCGTACTTTTTATGAAACTTCATCGAAATATACAAACTATAGAAATTTCTTTCTGTCTATTCATTTTTGCAAAAGTTTTCTGCAAAAACAAATGTTTTAATTCTGATATATTCCCAAATTCACATTGGGATCGGCATTTCAGTCGTAAAATAATTTACAACTAGTTTAACGAATAGTATACAAAGGACATGAATTAAAGTGCACGGAAAAAACAAGACTTGCTTAATTTAATAAAGAACATTCAAAATAATTGCAAATTTAAAGCAAAAATGCCAATAGAAATTAACTGTCCATACAGACACATACACACACACGTATATGTGTACGGTCTTAGTCTAAAATATTCAATTTTTACCATTAGTAAGAATAGTAGCGTATATTAAATAGGTTCGGTAATAACATTTTTATATGTTTGATACATTTTACTATGAATATGTTCTAACAAAGTATGTTTTTCAGATGAAGAATAAAATTATGCAAATAGTTCATATCATTTGCAATGTAAAATGTATACTACTACTACCAATACTACTACTAATAATAATAATATTTTAACATTTTTGCGTTTGACACGTAAATAAACGTAAATCTGATTTTACCAACAATGCTTGGAAAATGATCTATATAAAAACAATTCTTATAGCAATGCTTTTAGTGCTATAAGAATTGTTTTTCTATAGATCATTTTCCCAGCATTGTTGGGAAAATTGGAATATATTTACGTTTATTTACGTGTCAAACGCAAAAATGTTAAAATATGTACTGTATTATATATATATATATATAAACAATATTCATTATTCAATGTCAAATTCAAGCATAAACATGTTAAATAATCTTATACAACTTTCAACAATAACCAAAAAATGAAGTTATATGCTTTTATTTGAATATTTATAAATATATATTGGTTCAATTTCACATACAAAAATATATTTAAGTTAAATGTAACCTCTGATGTTTCTAATGATTTAATGTAATATTTATCAGAAATTTACTAAAAACCTAAAAACTAGGCAAATTATTGGATCATTTTTTATCCTTTCACAGATGTCGCTTCATTTTTCACTGGACACTAAGGCAACAACGACTCGTATTATTATCATTATTGCTAGTATTTTAAATTTTATAAAAAATTTTTTATGATTAGATTGCCCCAAATTAATTAAACTTATTTATTACCTGGCACAAGATCAAAAGCTTGCTGCGCTCATTGAAAATCAATAATAGTAATGGCCTGCGAGATTGTCTTTTCACTTTGATAACAGTAATGCACGTGCGATCGTCATTTCAAATCCAAAGCTGTTTAAAATTTCTAGATGAAAATTTTATTTCTGAAATATTTGATATACACACCTAATCTGATAAGTGACATTTTGAAAATATTTTTACAACTGAATTTATACATGTAGATATATTTGTATGCACTACAAAATAAATGTTACATACACGCGCGCGCGCAGTCATACAAATACACACATATATATATATATATATATATATATATATATATATATATCATAATTTTTTTCTTCAACTCTATGCCAGCATTTATGAGTGCTTATGTGTGCACGTGGAAATGCAGTTGCTTAGATACATATGTATGTATGTGTATGTGTGAAAAGGGAAAACATATATCAATCTAGACATAGTCGTAAAGTCGCATTTTTCCAAGGCTTTCGTGAATAATTTTCGCTTTAATCAGGAATATGTGCAGAAATATACGTACACATACATACACATATATATGTGGGAGTGCGTGCGTGTATGAGACACAGAGAGAGAAGAGGGGAGGGAGCTGATTATCATGATATATTCAAACTTTTCAAATGCATTACCTTAATTTAACTTAGTTTTTCATTATCACATGATAGCATATACACATCTTTGATATGATTATTAACAAGGCACGCACACACACATACACCCACACACACAGAGAAAGAGAGGGAGTCACGTATTAATTTGACTGATTAAACAATCACAGCATTGGCCAACCGAAATATCACTATCTTCCTAACAGACTAGGCAATCGTTTTAGAAAATAATCAAATAAATTGATTGTTCAAGAAACAACGAGAAGCATATTGATGCACATATTAACATTGACAAATATGGGTAAAATATAAATTATAAATCAGAATGATATATATGATCTTTGTACATCAAGTTATGTTTCGTTTACTTTGTGACTGTGGCTTGATAAATTGAAAATCACTTCCCAAAGCCATGAAACAGGTGAATGAAAAAGACGGCTAGCAAATTAGCAACAAAAGAGGCTAGAAATCAAAATATGTTTCATATGTATAAATACAAGGGACGATATGACAATTTTGTAATTTACAACCGATATCGCAATGCAAAACAAATAACTATATTTTTACACTATTTTAAGAAGTTGTGTAAAAATAAAATCTATTAATAAATTTATTATTTGAAGAAATATTTAAAACAGTATCGGGCGATGAAGCTTAAAAGTCTTTTTAGCTGAAACCCAAAATAGAAACAGAATAATATACCAGGAAGTTTTATTCATCTCATTAAATTTGGTATGTAAAATAATATACGCATTTGCATTTTTTGTATTTTCTATGTTCACGAGAAAACGAGTAAAAAATCAGAAAAGACATCTTATAGCTTTAACAATCAGTGTTTTAACACTCGTATAAACCAGTCATGGAAAAAATGTATCCGCTCCTTATCTTTAAACTAACGGTAAAGTCACAAGTTTATAAATATCTAACGACCCAATAGAAACTAAAAAATTTTCTGGTTATGAAAAAGATATTTCATTTCATATTTGAAATCATTTTTTTATTCTACTTTTCTTCTCTGCTTTATTTATTCATTAAAATCTGTCAGATGATCTTAAAGACATCTATGTACATATATACAAAAATTGTGAAATCTATCTATAGATAGATATTTATCTCACCTCCACTTATACATAAACACACAGATACAGACATATATATATATTTGTTTTTGAAAAAAAAGACATTTATCAACGCGTACACATTTATATATATATATATATGTATGCACACACACACACACACACATACATATATATATATATATATATATATATATATATATATATATATATATATATATATATACATATATATATGTGTGTATATATATATATATATATATATATATGTGTGTGTGTGTGTGTGTGTGTGTGTGTGCGCACACACACATATTGCGAATGCATGAATGTAGGCTTAGTTGTTATGTATAAAAAATGCTACCGAAAGGTTTTGTAAAACCGAACAGCTTGATCAAATCTATTCAACGACCAAGCGCTTTCTGTGTTATCGAACATTTCAAACATTTATCAAAAATCATCACACCAGGAAATCAAGAACCTTAAATATTTCTACCTTTGAGGAAGCCATTTCGCACCTTCAGTTACATAAACATTTGCGTAATACCTCATATATGTATATATATATATATATATATATATATATATATACATACATATAAAGATTATTATATCGATACTATTATGAAAAACATAAATATACAGTCAATAAGATAAATTATACTGAACAGAATGTGAATATAACTGATTAACATAGATATCTTATTTGGAAAACTAAAACTAAAATTCACATAATAAGCTCATGATATTCATTCATGTACTTCTTTATCCTCCTTGATATATATATGTGTGTGTGCGTGTGTGTGTATGCATGTATATATATATATATATATATATATATATATATATATATATATATACACACACACACAGTACCCTACATGCACACCATGCTCTCTTTTCTCTAAATGCTGAAATAAATATATATTTTTAAAATGACACCTTCACGTACTTTTAACATTAACATACAATCAGCACGCGTAATTTCCCCTGCCGATAGCTGTATTAAGCCAGAGATCTTTCACTTTTCTCAGGACAACTGTAGACCAAGCCCGCAGCAAGATAATCAGTTCACCTCTGCTTCTATTTATCTAGCAACACCGCGTCATTGCGCTTCTTGCTTTTCTCTCTTTCTTTCTTTTTTTTTTTTAACCTGTCCTCTTGTTTTCTTTGTCTTCTCTCTCGGTCACTCAATCACATGTGTTTTCCTCTTTTCTCTCTCACTTTAATTCAGGTTCCAACCCATGGCTTTACTTCCTTCCCTTGTGCATCTGTTTGCCTGTCTCTCCCTGCAAGCAAGCAACCCCAACAGTATCATCACACAACTGCTACCAGTCATTATCAAGGACCACTTTGTAATAACCACCACCGGCTTTCTTTCGTCGTCGCGCTTCTGACCAGCGTGTACACATTATATTCGGATTTTTGCGAGAAAAGTTCAGATAGGTAGATAGATAACCCACTGAGTGTGTGTGTGTGTGTGTGTGTGTGTGTGTGTGTGTGTGTGTGTGTGTGTGAGAGAGAGAGAGAGAGAGAGAGGGAGAGAGAAAAAGTGTGGTGTATGTGTGTGTGCGTCTGTGCGTGTCTGTGTGTGCGCGCGCGCGTGTGTTCGCGTATGTGTGTATGCGTGTGTTATAATGCAAGAAATCAGTTTTGGGAATTGAAAGAAAGAGCAAATCCCAGACAGGACAGGCTCCACCCTCTTCTATTACCAGAAAGCCGAGAGACAGAGAAAAGATTGACACTGCATATGACAAATGGCTAGCCAGTGTTACAGAGTACCACAATGTGCAATATCAGGTAATCAGTTCCAAGAATAACTAGGTTAAGTCACCTGAACTACTTCTATTCTTCAACAGTCAACGATGAAGAAGAAATGGAGTTGATAATTTGGCACTGATGATGAAAAGAAATGACAACTTTCAGAAAACTTATGAATTCAATACACAAATGCTTAAACTTTTATATTTAAATGCAGAAACAGAACGAGAAAAGATCAGTTATAATACTTTCAATGTTAACAGAAAAACGGTAAGTAACATATTTCCTAATAGAAATTGTCATTTTTAGAATTCACACGCTTTTAATTTCAATTTAATTCTTTCTTTCCTTTCACTTTCTAACCTTTCTTCACATTACTTTACAGTTGTTGGACTTAACCTTAGTAAGAAATACATTTGCCACATAGGCTCCAAATTCATCTCGTAGTTAACAAGCGTAAACCTTAAGTCTAGGCAAAACAAAATGAAAAGAACTTAGAAAAGATAAACAACAAAAATAGATGAAAAGAACTAAAACAAAAAGAACAAAATACATTACATTCATGTTTCCAAATGAGTTCCCAATTGAGAGAACCAGAACGAATGGACACAACCATGAATATTAGGTAAGTATTGACTTGAAAATTAAAATGTCAAAAATTAAAACTCGCCTTGCTAATAGTCTGTCATTGACATTTATAATTTCTCAAAAAATTTAAAATTATTTCGATAATGAAATAATGTACAATGTAAAAATTGCTGCCGTGGTTTGAAATTTTTACTGTTTCTTTGTAATTTCAGTAAAACTGTAGTTCTAAGAACTTCAACAATTTTTCTTGAAAAGGTAACGAATTAAACAAAGATTTCAATCAAGATTATTTAAAAAAAAAGAACAAGCATTTTTATTGAATCATGTTTAATAAATGTTACTTTGTATTAAAGAATTCATAGTAACAACTTAGAAATATGCTTATAAATATACTTTATTATATATTATTATAAACGTGATTTGTAGTGGCTACAAGCTTGAGATTATATATATATATATATATATATATATATATATATATATATATATATATATATATATATATATATATATATATATATATATATATATGTATGTGTGTGTGTGTGTGTGAATGCGAGAGTTTTGCAGTACGTGTCAAATATATTTAGCGTGCAAATCGTGCAAACTCTTTGTTAGACGTTCGATTCTCACTGGATGGTTCACAAATGTGGACTTCTACGCCCAACACATAACATTTACACGCGCATACACAGAATAAAATAAATGGATGAATAGATAGATAGAGAGAGAGAGAGAGAGAGAGCAAGAGAGAGAGAGAGATGAGGAGGAGGAGGAGGAGGAGGACGTGGTGGTGGTGGAGGAGGAGGAGGAGGAGGAGGAGGAGGAGGAGGAGGAGGAGGTGGAAAATTGTTGAAAATACATCCATGGTTGTGTATTAATAAATACATAAATTTTAAGAACTGACGTCTTTGCGATTCATATGAATTTAATACAATGTTGTTTGTTATTTTTGTTTTGTACTTTCTGAAGTTTGCTGTAACAAATCAAAATTGATCATTTCGTCATGTTTCTTGAAATAGTTGCATAGTTGTCATTTGTTTCTGCGTAATCTTTGAAATTGTATGTCAGTACAATCATTCATCTGTACCCCTCTTTCTTTCCTAGTTCCATGTCTCACGTATATACACACACATTTTAAGATTCTTTGAGAATAATGTGCGTCGAGTATGTGTGCTCTTTTAATCATGTGTAGAAATGTGTCCGTACCATTCGCTATAACTGTTTAATTTGTATTCTTATCACTATTCATTGGTCTTCTTCTCTGTCGTTCTATATTAATCTCTCTAAAACTTAAAAGCTAAGTATAACAGAGAGAATTTACGTTTTCATATCCATAGACACTATACAAAGTTTTCGGTTTTAGAAATCCTTTCAAATATTTTCTGATGTTTGGTTAGATTTTGGGAAGCAGATCCGCAACACTTTCGTAAAACACCTTTTTATGTTGTTTTTTTTTATAAAATGTAATATACAGACATTAAACTTGTTTTCTCTCTCATATAAACTTGCTTTTGCGGGTAATTTGCTATATTTTCAGTTTAGAATTTATATTTCATTTTTTCTATTTTCTTTTATGTCTTAAAGTATTTCAATTTTTTATGAGGAAGTCTTTCTAAAAGAAAGAATAAGTTATAGTCGTTACTATCTCCGAAAGTTCAAGAATTAATCTAACTTTGGCTAGGAGTGTAATTCTTGGGCATTAGAATTTAACAGAAGTAAATGAACTGTTTATAAAACCAATATGATGAATCTATAAGCTACAGTTAACTGAAGTAATCATACTCAAGTTCTTACTTTGTCGTTAATACTGTGCTACAATAAACAATTAATCCAGTGATTATGATGAAGGCTTTGGATCAAGTCGGATGTTCATACTTTTAAGAAGATAAGCAATTATTTAAAATGTTGACAGTGTCTGAATTCCGATTCAATAGAATGTACGAATTTAAAATTTACAAACATTTAATATTAGTAATTGTGTTGCCTGTTACTTGGATGTTTTTAGGATTCATCTTAATAAACGACAAAGTTCGTAATTTATAATAGAAGAATCAGGTGTAATGACACCCCACAACCATAAATAACATTTATCTTTCATTTTCATTTTATCTACTGATTTAAGTGGAAAATCGTTTTCATTTTGCTCCCGAGTGTAAAACTGCAATCGTTTAATGAATAAAAATATATAAATAAATGGAGTTGCAATATTTAAAAAGCAAAGAACATATAAAATGGTCTGAGTAATTTTAGTTCAAAACTTGTCAACATATTGAAGCAAAAATTCAAGATGAGTCAAATGAAAAACCTTGTGATGAAAGGACTGATTAAACGATACAGATGAACATTAAGTAAAGGTTTGTTTACGACAATGGGGTCACACAACATATTTTTTTTATTGTATGTGGAACTGAAAAATACCCAGTGTCGCATAGAATAGAATCTCCTGGCTTGAGCCCAAACTAACTCGAGTTCAATGACGATTCTGCTGTCGCAGGGGCGAGAGTTGTTAAATCGACTCTGTACCTGAAGTGGCAAAGTTTCCTCCTTCTAAGCCTCAGATTCACAGACGGGTTGGAGTAGACCTATGTCAGAAAATTATTGAGATTAACACGAACTCACATTCAGCTTTCAGTTAGAAGAATGACGGAAAATGTTAGACTATTTTTTTTTAAATTAACTTGATATCGAAAAAACAATACGCAAAAGAGAAGAGCATCTTCATTATGAAAATGTAAAAAATCATTGTAAAAAATCAGATTGAGAAATCAATTTTGTTTATGAAGAAGTCTGTATAAGCGCTCGTACACATACATAAAGATATATTTCCATATAACACTTTATATATCCGTATGCAGTTATGTTATAAGAATATTTATATCCTACACTACTGTAACAAGATATAATTTACATTATGTATAGAGAAGGTTTGTTTTTCTGTTTCATTAGAATGTAATATACTTACAGACGAATTTGAAGCTAGCCAGACACCATTTCTATGTTGAGATGTAAAGATATTTCTTTAATTTATAATGACATTTTTGTCAGGTTAATCAGGTTAATATTTGTCAGTCTTGGAGAAATATAATATGCACGTTTTTTTAAATAAGTACAATGCGTTTATTTCTTCAAAATATTCTTAAATTTGTAACAAATTTTAGAAGTATTGTCAAAAGCCAAACATTTTACTATTTTTGTAATTTTTTTACATATTTGAATATGTTAAAGTTTTTAAACACATAAGGATATAATTTAAGAATAGAAGTGGAAATGTTGCTAGTTTTATTAAAATTTAAACTTTATATTTCTATGTCATTTTGCTCCAATAAATGCCAAAATAATTACAACGGATATTCAAGCAAGACTCATCAGATTTTAGAATACGATTGTATTCATATTTTAAACTATTTTTGCATCAGTGATCAATATGAATTCTAAAAGGCACGAAAATAATTTATTTTCACTATTTTTATGCATCATTATAAACAAATTTTCACTCTATCGCAAAACTATTTCTATTAAAAATGTTATTTGCATGAATAATCAATTTTATGACTGTTTATACATGGTTGTATATTTGTAAAACACAAAGACACTCGTCTATTTTAAATGAAGCCGACGGTTGCATTACTTCGAGCCATAATTTTAGTCCAATTTTTGCTTATTTTACACGAGTGCTTAAAAATGACCACCTTGTCAAATAATTAAAATATGCTCATATCTCATTTATTCAGTAGAATAAATTAATCATTTCTGTATTCATTCTAAAGTAAGATTTTTCAACAATGATTTTATTTATATTATAATCTTAAAAATAGCATACTATAAATCTATTTTAAAAAAATGATCTATTTGCATCTGTATGTAAAATAGATGAACTGTAACCTGTCATAAGAATTTTATAGTGGTTGAGTTACGGTTTTACGGTAACTCAATCACTATAAAATACTTAGACGAGAGAAAAGATGGATTTGAAACAAAAACATCATGATGAACAATAAAAGGAAAACGAAAAATTACAAAAGAGAAAACCGGATGAAAAGAGGTTTTATAATTCATTAAATAGGAAATAAAAACATAAAAGTACAAGAAATTTCGATTAAAAAATAGAAACATGAAGGAGAAAGTCAGAACTAATTCAAAATGTCATAAAATATTTTAAGCTTATTTCGGTTCTCTGTTAGAAAATTAAAACCATTTAAAAATAATGAGCAAAAACGCTTCGTTTAAAACAACTTCATCGATAAGAAAATTTATAACTTCCTATTTTCGGTAATATCTTATGAGAATTATTAAGTAAGCACATAAAACTATAATAAAACAAATCAATAAAATTATTTTAAATACAATCATGTAATTAGCGATAAAAAGGATGGAACAATGAGACACAAAAATAAGGTAAGGAAGAAATACAAAGAAAATATGTAGTGATACAAAATCATATAAAATAAAATTACAGAAAGAAAAATATGAATAGATTCTTGCGAAAGGATTCGAAAAACTGCGTTACATTCTAGTCATTTTGTGAATAATACCTTTAGATGAGTAATCAGGTAGACGAATTTTAAAGTGTTAAATATGTAGTTATATACTTATATGGATACACAGACACATGAATACATTCTTTCACACTCACAAACATATATATATATATTATATTTCTTTTCTTTTATTATCTAAGAAATGGTGGATTTGATAAAATTTCTCTCGACTCCGCATATAAATAGAATATTTCGTGTAATCCAAACTGAAATACACATTAATTTTATCACAATATTTAATGGTGGTTATATTTCCTTCGAGATTAACTTCTCTCTAAACATAGAGGTCGTTGTTCAAACCCGAGTAAAGATTTCGAATATAGTGCCTCACTCCCTGAAAGACTGAGTATCACAATCTCTATATAAATATTTTTCTCACCTCTCTTCATCTCTAAGATCATCATCATCATAAAAAATAACTATGTATTTACTGTATCTACTGTCTCTTTTGTTTCTTTGACTCAAACCAGATATAAAACAAGACAAATTTTCTAATGAGAAGAAAAACTTGATTATGCAGTTGAAAAGATCACAGTTGCCGGCGTCACTGGTGTGACTGCTGATTCTGCTGATGCAATCCGAATGTTGTCACTTGAAATGCCACTTCTACCAAAGTTGTCGTTGTTTTTGGATATTTGATGTCGGATAACTAAACTGTACATAGAAAGGAGATAAATCACACTGGAAAATTGTTTCCAGCATAACAGTCTTCCTTAATCAGATGACTTAAAACAGAGAGTCTCGGAATAAGCCAATTATAGAGAAGGTACGTCATTTGCTTTCTTGGGTCAAGTAGATGATAAACGGGATCTGATATTTGCATGAGGAAAACTCTTTGTCTTTGCTATTTAAAATATGCAACATCTATTTATTTGCTTAAAAGCCTCTCAAAACACATAATAATAGGAATTTATTATATAAAACATATTTTACTCGTATTTACCAACAGAATCCATTTTTGTACTATTAGAATGCGCTCCATCTATTTATATGCCATTCAAGTGAGCATTTCTAGCGGTATATTACAATCATTCAGAAACGAAGTTTGAAGTTTACTGCGTCGAATCATATATATCGAATATCTCTATTTAGTTCCATCCTAGAAAGAAATTTTCTCACATACATTAGTCGAGCTATAAGCTGTATGCATTCATTTGTTCTATTCATTTTTGCTCTATTTGTAGTCAAGCACCACCTGCGGGCGCCGACTTTACCAATTGATTTCATGTAAACCTACGTACTGACCTGATGATAGCGCTTCCATTGTCAGAATACCAAACACATCTATCCTCCGCAAGAACCATATCCACCCACATATTTTTGCACTCTGCTCATTGAAGTAATAAACA